CCCCCCAACAGCCTGCGCGGCCTTGGTAACCCGGGCGACGAACGAGCCGGTATAATTGTTGATGGCGTCAATACCATGAGTTGCAAGTGGCTAAATTTTACAGAGACTTGCTACGGTCTCCAATTATCTTTTTTTCTCAGTCGGGCTTGGGACAGCAACGGCATTGTTACATCTGCGCAGTCAAGTTCAAATCACAGCATATTCAGGCTTACTGCGTTCAGATCACCTAGTAGTTTGCGAAATTCGTCGAGAACTTGTCGATTACACCAAGGAACAGTTTTGCCATGTTTAGTTTCACGATTGGGTACCACAAGGTTGGAGTGAGGTGCCGTTACTCCGATTCATCAAAAATGACATTGTCAGAACTACCGTATGACATGCTTGAATGGTGTGCTGAAAAAATCTTTACCACGTTGCTGCTGCGGGGATTCCAAGCCAAGCAGACGAACAGAAAAAAACAAATCAGGCTGGATTCCGCGCTAGAAGAGGGTGTATTGGTCAAATTTGCGCGCTATGCCGCGGCCTGGCAAAATGCCACAGTTTTCAACAACTCATCGTTGTTTGCTTCCTAGATTACTGGCAGCATTCGATTTGGTTTGTCGAAGCACCTTGTAACGCATTCTTCAGAAAATTTTGAAACTAGTTTAGGCATACTATCGCAAGACACTAACAAGAGTCTTTCAGACGAAATCACGGCCATTTCACCTCGTTTTGCTGAATACAACTCTGATCCCTGGATAGCACTGGACAGAAACGAAGCAGTTTGGATCTGGCGAGACAAAGGTGCCAGAGCTGAAGCTTAGGCATTGCAGTTTTCACGTCTATACTGCCTACTGCTAAAAGGGTCGTTAATTGAACTGCACAGTCCACCGAGACGAAGGTAATCGAATTGTTTGTTAATACCGCATCTAACAATGTTTAACGCAAGATAACTATAAAATATGGTTGCATGATTTGTAACTATGATTTTATTTTTACGACCCTGCTGTTCCTGGTATTCGTATGCTTCTTC